TTACAGCGGCAGCAGATATTTATGGGTTCGGAGTTATCATGTCAGAGATATCAACAGGACAAAGACCTTTTGATGGTCATAAATTTGATATTGATCTTGCGATAAAGATTTGTAGTGGATTGCGGTCTGAATTTGCTTCTGGAACTCCTGACTGCTATACTGATTTGGCAAGGCAATTTATGGATTCTGATCCAAAAAAACGGCCTACTGCTAGTGATGTTATGAATAAAGTTTATGATTGGACAGATGTAATAGATGAAATAGATGAAATTAAAAAGCAATTCATAGAAGCAGATTTCATAGTCAAAAGATTACCAATTAGCACACTAAAACATCCAGACACAATGTATACTAGTAAAATTATTAGTACGCAAAGAATATCAATTGCTATTAAGGGTATTTACGGTATTTTAATAATGATGTATTATTTTTGTTTATTTAAAATTTATGCTGCCTCTAAAAACTTTAATCTTCATATTCCTGATTAAGTAATATTTCGTGTGTTTAATAAATACAAATTATAATTTGATTAGATACTTTTAATATTATTTTAAGCCAATAAATTTTTAAAAATATTTTTAGAATTTTTTATTTTTAGTCATATGGTTGCACTTTCTTAGGATTAGCTTTAAGCATGCAGTTTGAGAGTATGTGTAACCACATTATATAACATAAATGAAATTTGAAAAATAATAGTAGGTTCAGCATGATTAAAAATCCATCTGATTGGTAGTCGATCCTTAAAATCTGATTGGCTGATTATAGTATATGAAAATGCACTCGATCATATGAAAAATCATTAACGAATCTGATTAAATCTGCCAGAAGCAATGATGCTAACGAAGAATATTTCTTTAAAGTTTCGTCGATTATTAATTATGTAAATTTAAAACTTGCTACCGAAAAGTAATAAATTTACATAATTGACATTTGACAGAACTTTAAAGAAATATTCTTCGTTAGCATCACTTGCTTCTGGCAAATTTAATTGATATATTCGTTAATGATTTTTCATATGATCGAGTGCATTTTCATATACTATAATCAGCCAATCAGATTTTAAGGATCAACAACCAATCAGATAGATTTTTAATCTATCCTTAAAGTATCAATTAATACGAGCAAGATACATAGTTAAATTTTGAAGAATTTCGAGGTCTTAAAACAAAAGTGTCAATCGACTGATTAATCTGGATCGCTTTACATATCAGCCAATTTAATTTTTGGACCCTTTTTCAATAAAATTGGTACACAGAAGTTTTACGTTGAAAAAGTAACAAAGTGCGTCACAATTAAAAAAAAAGAGATTTTCTAGTACACATTAGAGTTAAAAAGCAAATAAAACCAAATAAAACAATTATATTAAGCTTATTGTTGGGTATTATCATTGAATGATGGGTTTAATAATTATAAAAGGTGAACTCGGAAGCAATTTTTTAAGAAAATGTCCTTTAAACCTTACCTTTAACCTATAATTAAATACGTAGATAACATCATGTTCTACTTATTTAATTATAGGCCCAGAGTAAGTTAAAAAAGTTGTTCTTCTGAAAGTTCGATTTGTTAAACAAAATTTTGTCCAGTAATCTTGACTAATTTTAGGGTCTAATCAAATCGGTTAAGAATGCATTATTTGCTTTTTAGAAGTCTTTTTTGTTATTTCTTACTGGGTGGTTTAATTTAAAAAAATATATTAAAATAAATACATGAAGAATTTATATTTAACTAAAGTGATATTATAACTTAAAAATGAATAATGAAAACAAAAATCAATAAGGCATAAAATCTGAACGAAAATTAAATTATATACATTATATACATACATTTTATATTACATATCTCATGTAATAATAACAATATTAACCACTAATTCCCTTTTGCTTCTTGTAAGCCTGAATGTTAACAGTTTCTCCATTGAGTCTTGAATCCTCTGCGGCGAACACCAGAAGATGGGAATCTAAAGATTATTAACATGAAAAATATTTTAGATACAAAACTATTATATAAATATGAACAGGTTTACTATAAAGTCTTAAACATCAATAATAAAGATTATCAGAAGCCCAACACCATAATCCCAAATGACCAAGATATGATTTAAAAAATTTCTTCATTTTTTATCAAGACTTCTTAATTAAACACAATTAGACCTCCCTAAATGCGTGCCCTATGAAGGTCTCTTTAATTACACTCTCCTGCTCGGTCCAAACTACTATAACAACTTATTTAATCTTCCCAGATGTAATGCTTCTCTAAATACCGTTTGACATTTATTGCATATAGTTGGTAATTTGCATCTAGTCTAATTGTAACGATTAAATATTGATACCCAATAATGATATTTCAGCGTATGAATCATTAGGGTCTTGAAACTTCAAGTATTGAACTATCATTATTATACTCTCGGATTTTAAATATCGGGCTTTTGCATTGTTTATAGTAGATGTTTAAGAAATCTCTAAAAATGACATACCAAAGGTTTGTTTAATACCAGTTGTTAAATGTATATTGCTTTGCTCATTTGGAGCATTTTTTAATGATTCTTTAAATTCGTTAACATTATATATAAAAGACCGCATTAGAGCCATATCACCACCAGCTATAAAAGAATCATCAATATAATAATAAACAAGTTATAATAAAATTTATCGATTTAAAGAACTTTAACAAGAGAAAATCACTTATATTCACCATGACCACTTAAATCGTTAACACCAAGAATTTCAGTTGGTGTTAATATTTCTTTTTTTCTTGTTAAAAAGTTATAGTATTTGATTTCATTAACGCCATTGCACTCGAGTTCCCCGAGAGTTCCAAAAATCCTTAAATAATTATAAATATAGAATAATTATTTTTATAAAAAAGTGAATTCTATTTAAAAAAATACAATAAATTCCTTACTTGGTCTTTATAATAATTTAAAGTTAGAAATTATTTTGATAATTATTTTGATATAATAATTTAAATTTAAATATAATATATACCTTTCTTTCACAAATGGCTTCAGTGTATGCAATCATAGTGATATTTGCTGTTGCGCCATTACTAAATTGCATATTGACCACCTTAATTTATGTAATATAGTATTAATATTTAAAAATAAAAATGCAAATATTAAATAATTAATTTTAAAATACTTGGTTGTCCATGACATCATTATCACATTCATAAACACATCGCCCATAAGGACCAGTTTTTAAATTATTAGTTAAATTTTCAATATCTAATTAAAATATTATATGTTATTAATAATAAAAAATAACATCAATACAGTAATTAAAAATTATACAAACCAACAACATCTGTTATAACATTGACAGGCCAAGATACTACTCCTTTGTTAAAACAATTATCAATATAGATTTTTTTTGCAGAGTAAGGGCATGTTGGTTCCACTTTACAGTCAAAACAATTTCTAAAAAAAAATAATATTAAAAATACTAATATTATATATATATACATATATTTATTATAAATAAATTGCTTTACTTTGCGTCACCAGCCTCCTTTGGTTTATTTTTTGAATTAAAATGCATTAAACTTCCAAATGAACTAATTTTCTATATTATTAAGATAAATAACATTTAATATTATTTTATTACATTTAATAATTTAAATATTTATTATATATACCTCACATAGAACATCATCCAAAAAATAAGATATCAAGTCTAAAAGACAAATTAAAATTTAAAATGAATATTCATTTAACATTAAATTTAAATTTAATATACCTATATCATGGCAACACTTTAAAATAATGATCGAATTAATAATTTGATATAATTATAAAAAAAAATAAACATATTTTATAAAATATATATAAACCTTTGTCATTAAAGAAAAATTAGAGCTTTCTTTATTTCGCCAATTCCCCCTCACGTACTAAATTTATATGGTTTATATTAATAAATTATTTTAGATACTAAATTAATAAATTTAATATAATAGATATTTACTGAGTGGGCAAAGTGCCATTCTCCAACAGGCTCCACATGCTGAATGTTTACAATATTCCCAAGGTAACCGCCATCAATAATTGATTTAATAAGAGTATTATGTGGTGTATATCTTAAAACATGTCCTAAATATTATTTAAAATTATATTTTAAAGTATTTTTTTAAAAAAATGCAATGAAGTGTTATTCACGTACCCACAGCACAAACGATCTATTGAAATATTTCGACAAAATAATAATTGTTATTACTCAATTCTTCTAGTAAATAAATTTATTGTCTATGCATGATCTGACACGATCACACAAATAAATACCTTATTCTCTAAAACAGTATTGGTAATCTCCTTACAACTTTTAATAGTATCTGCCATTGGCTTTTCAAGGAGGATGTTATATTTCTTGTTTGCAAATTCAATTGCTGGTTTAATATGAAGATTATCAAAGGTTGCGATTATGACGGCGTCACTTAATTTTGGACGTTTAATCATCTTTTAAAGTAAGCACATAAATGATATGATTATCATATTAATAACATTTGAAATAAAAAACTGATCAAGTTCATACTTCTTCCCAATCTGTAAATACGTTTTCTTCAGGGATATTATATAACTAAAAATCAAATGCATCGTAGATTTTTTTTTTTTTTTTTTTTTAAAAAAAAAAAAAAGGTTTATCACACAAAAACATATTTTATATAATTAAAGAAACCTCAGCCATCATTCTTCTTCGATGTTCTACGGGTTCGGCAACAGCAACTACTTTGGCCCATTGCGGCTCAATTTTAGTGTAGCGTGCGTAAACTGATCCTCTATAATTTTAGTTGTAAAATTTCATCAGAAACGACATTGGCGGATTAATTAATCAATAATTTTTTATAATTATTCGAAAACAAAAAATTAGATTATACCTTTGTCCAGCACCAACAATAGAAATAGTAATAGGCTTAGAAGGGGGATTAGGAGTTGTTTGCTTAGGTTTTAATAAATTAGCAATAGAAACCGGATCTTCTATTTTAGTTGTAAAAGCAGGTTGCCAAGACATTTTAGGGTCGGTAAGCGCAATAGTGGTGTTTAAATTTGATACTTTTTTTTTTTTTTAATTTGAATATACGTACATTTCTCGTGTAGATGTAGATATTTATATTTTCTTTTGAATCAAAATTAGGAGTTTTTAATCCGCCTTTAACTTATCCCAAATAAATGAACTTTTCTATGAACGTACGCCCGATCTGCACATCAATACACGTGGACAAATAAATAGGCAGTGTACAGTCAGACATTCGTTTGATTGGCTGATGTAAATCAATTGCCCAAGTAACTTATTTATACACTTTAGAGTACTTTTTGAGAATGTAACGTTTCACTAATAAAAAATCGCTTTAGACAAAACGTATTAACTGTTCAAAAGAATCAAAAAAGAATCATACTCCTAATTACTTTGTTTAGAAGACAAAAATGCTATTTACTGTAGCAGATCATAATGAAATTCAACTTATTTTATGTCCGTTTTTTTTGTTAGGGTTTTTTTTATAGTTTAGGGTTAGAATTATTAGAAAGAGTATAGGTAGATTTTGATAGAGTTTATATATTTAAATCAAAACTTTTAAATTTCACAATAATCTGATTTCCAATATTTGATAGTAGTATTATGTGCTTATGGATGATTACAATATGTTAAACTGTTGGAGATTGGCAAGTGAAAATATCGTTACAAAAGAACAGGCTAATGAAACTTTACTTTTTTATCTCAAAATAGATACAATAGAATTGTAATAAAAAGCTTAGTTAAATTTTGTCAAAATGCTCTAACTGAGGCAAGACAACTTTAAATTGAAGAACCTGAAGTTGAAAATATCAATAAACTAGAGCAATCTGAAGTTGAAAAAGCTAATGATACAAATTTCTTGTTTTTTTTTAATACAATAGAGACAATGACATAAATTTATTCAAATATGAAAATAAAATAAAAAAGCTAGTAATATATTTATTAATAAATTTTAGGCAACTATAGAGAGAAAAATACAAGGTTAAAATTGTTTTTTGATGAATTATATACTTCATCTAATCTATAATTAAAAAATAAGAAATACAAACTCGTATAAAAACAGTTTTTATCTATATGCTATTTTCTTTGTAAAATAAAAATAAATTTGTAAATAATATTAAAAAAGATTTAATATTGTATTTAGATTCAACTAATATTTTTAATACTACAATTAATATACTAGCAGATTTAGATATAATATTTATATCTTGATCAATTGCATTATTTAAGACTAATATAGCTAAAGAATATATCAAAATTATTAATTCTGTATTTGCAAATTATATAGAAAAAGTGATAGTATTGAATATAGATAATTATTATAGTATTTATATTCTATAGATATCTAATACAACTGCTATATTTACTGTAGTATATTTAGTCATGATATAAGAATCTGTATAGTAAATTTTATTTTAACAAAATAAATACAAATTTATAATAAAAATTTTTAAAAAATAATCAAAATTTATTAAAATTTTATTATATATAGATTAAATTTTTTTGTTTATTTTAGCAAAATTTTAAATTCTGTATAGTTTAAAAAAAAAAATCTAATTATATATCATAAAATTTTTTAGAAGTATTTAAATTTTTTAAAGTTATACAAAATAATCAAATCTAATTAGTCAAACCTATTATTTTCTTATAGTAACTTTTTAATACCTACTCTTAAAAAATATTTTTTTTTTTTGCTAAATTTTAACTAATTTTAATAATTTTACTACTATTAGAATTATAAGATTCTACTTTACAACTTTATTTAAATATAAAAATAGTTTAATTAATAAAATATTTAGTAAAATAAAATATAAAAAAATTTTCTATCAAGTTTATATGTAATTTGAAAATAATAATATCTATTCTTAATGAATCTAATTACTAACTAGACTACTATCCTTCAAAATATATATATATATATAACCTTTTATTTGTTAATACTAATAACTAAATTAAATATAGAAGGTCTGATGATTTTAGTGTATAGTTAGATTACTAGACTGCCATGCAATAAGTGCTATACAAACTTAATAAATTTGTTTTTATTATATAATGCAAAAATTAAGTAAATTATAAACTTCCGTTTTGTCAAAAAATTGGGCGTTACTTTTGATTCCTACTGTACATAAGAACACAACATGCATCATAAAATATCAGAACTGAACATTTTGGTTTTTTGAGATTAAAGTTTTATTATCTTTTAACCATTTTGAATCGCCATTTGGGCTTAGTTTATTTTTTATATATTATTAAATCCAGATTTAACCAGATTTCTTTTTACTTTGTTAACTGTCCGATAAAGCACAAAAAAAATGTGATAATTTCCACTAACATTATCATTTACTTTTAGGGTTAGTACTACTTTCTAAATTCGTATATTTTTGCTTCGGCTTGATAGAATTTTCGAAATTTCATGCATCACTGCATGAACGTTAGAGAAAGAAAATTAGTTATATTAAATAAGTTATGTTGATATAAAACGTCTGGGATGAATTAAGCTGATTCAATGCCGAAATTAATGTTTGGAGCAGAGATCTATATATATATTCCTTAAATGAAAATATAAAATATGTATCTTGAACAATGGATAAATGAATATTTATTTGTCTGACGCATCAACCCGTGCATTATCTTTTTACAAGAATAACAATCAGTTTTATTATTAATAGACTATTACATCCATCATTATACGTATAGTTTAATGTTTATTAGTTTTCAAATTTATATTCATAAGTTATATTTAATATTTTAATATACTATGAACTTGGCCACAAATGCCTCAACAAACCAGTCCGCCAAAATTAAGGTTGCGAGTTCGAGTTCGAAATTATATAACTCGAACCTATAATTTACCAAACGAAAATAAATTCGATGCAGAATTCATTCTTGGTATTATGTTATGAGGTTTTTGAACGTTCAAATTGGATTATATAAGCAAGGGAAGGAATATAAATCTATCACGGTGTAAATATATTTATTCGATAATTATC